AGGTATTCATTTTGATTTTGTGTAACATGTACATTTCTGCACCAAAAAAAAAACAAAAAACAAAAACAAAAAAACGCGTTGCGAGAGAGCTTTGCAACGCAGTTCGTAGCTTTGTGAAATGTCGTCTAGAGGACACAAAAGGCATTTTGGTAGCATTCTGCTTTGTCACAAACAAATTTGATCGTTTTGACCTGATGAGTAAACTTCATGAAAACTAAACCGTTACAAAAAAAGTGAATCGTCTTTCGTCGCTTTGAATAGTTTTGAGTGTGAAGAAAGAATTTATTTTTGAAGCTTTTCTTTTTTCAACTACATCTTGTGTTAATAAAAGAAATATCTTTTAATATGAAAATTCATGATAAAGAACTCACCGCTTTTCAGAAAAAGGTTATCTGTAAATCTGTACTTGGCGACAATGCAACAGGCGTTTCTTTTCTTTTTGAACGGACGAGGAACACTGGACACGATAATGAGTTATATCCTAATCCTACTCACCCCCTCGGACTCTGAGAAGGAAAAAAAGAAAAAAAAAACAGCCACGTCTGCTCCACCTGGTGAAACGCACCAGAGTGTCGATGATGAGGAAGGTTCGAAACAAACTAAAACTACATCCATGCAAGTTTCCATAGAGATATGGAAACACAATTCGAGGTTATAATGAATATGAACATCTAATATGGTGTAATGAATATGAATTCTTTCTGATTAAATTTCTAGGTATACGCTCAGCTCGTGCGGACTCAGGAAGGACTCACCAGAAGCTGTAGATTAGTGCAGAGCTGCTTTGGTGGGGGATTTGCTTTCGCTTTTGCTCAGACTGAGAATTCCTTTCTTTTGTGGAGTTGTTCGGCATGACCTGTCGCTGAAATCAGAGTTCGAAGAGGGGACTACTAACTCTGCTGAGATTAAATAAAGCATTAAAAAAGTTTTCTAGATTCTTTTTTTTTTTCTTCGGTATTCGAATATTATTGTAACATTTAATCATATTTTTCATGACGAGCCGGAATTAATTATTGTGAAGGCCCCCAGGAGAAGACACACAGGGCTTGCACTGTAAGTATCTCGGAAAGCTCCATACGATTCCTTATAATGAAATTATAAGAAATTGAATGAAGTTTTTTTAGCATTAGTCGAGGCGCGGCAAGTGTTGTCACTTATGATCCTCGCAAGGATCATGGGTAACAACACCCGCTGCGCCACGACTGACGCAAAAAAAAGCTTCGTACAATTCCTTATAATAAAATTATAAGAAATTGTATGAAGCTCTCCGGGATACTTACAGTGCAAGCCTTGTGTGTCAGTCTCATAGCGAATGAACGAATACATTCATGAGGGGGACATTGAGGGGGTTCTGAACACTGCACTTCCGCAAAAAAAAAAAAAAAAA